GACCAGTGCAAAACAGGACCAGAATATTGCCAAATTCCTGACCAGCCTAACAGCTACTGCTGGTGATAAAGATAGAGGAAAACCAGAAATTGTCCTGTTTCCTAACATAGATTTTGGCCTAGAAGTCAGCAAGCAGCGGATCCTATCTAGGCAATTTCCATTTATCCCATCTCATATGACTGCAACAGAGAAAATTCTCTACTTGTCCTCAGTCATCCCTTTTGAGAGCCCACTCATGATACGAGCCCTAGGGGGACTCCTTAAGTTCCTAGACAGGAGACGGGTTGGAGTTGAGCTCGAAGAAAGCGCTATTGCAGTTCCTATTTTGGCCTTTAAAAAGTTTGCGCTGTCAGATACTGTGAATATGGACCAAGACACTTACTGTGTCCTGCAGATATTTAAAAGTGATATCCATCCTTCTGTGTACAAGCTGTCCAGTGGATTAAAGGAAGGATTCAGTTTATATGGAATTTTAAACCGTTGCAGGTGCAAATGGGGAGAAAAACTGCTGAGGCTGTGGCTCACACGACCTACTCGGAACTTGACAGAGCTGAACAAACGGCTAGATGTTATCCAGTTCTTCCTGCTGGCTCAGAACCATGAAACAGTCCTCACTCTTCAAAGTTGCCTCAAGAATATTAAAAATGTGCCTCTTATTCTAAAGAGAATGACTCTTGCCCACACAAAAGTTAGTGACTGGCAAGCACTCTATAAGACAGTGTACAGTGCAGTGTGCCTTAGAGACACGTGTCGTTCTCTGCCCAACACTATTGAACTCTTTCAGACTATTTCACGTGTCTTCACTGATGATCTGCACTACATTGCTAATCTAATCAGCAAAGTGGTGGACTTTGAAGGCAGCATCTCAGAGAACCGCTTCACTGTTAGACCCAATGTGGACCCCACTATCGATGAGAAGAAACGAAACCTGATGGGACTGTCAGACTTCCTTACAGAAGTGGCACGAAAAGAATTGGAGACCTTGGACAATCATATTCCCTCCTGTTGTGTGATCTACATTCCTTTGATTGGGTTCCTTCTCTCCATTCCACGGCTACCAACTATGGTGGATAAGAGTGACTTCGAAATCGAAGGCTTGGACTTCATGTTCTTGTCGGAGGACAAACTGCACTACAGAAGTGCTAGGACTAAGGAGTTAGACAGCCTGCTGGGTGACTTGCACTGTGAGATCAGAGACCAGGAAACACTTATTATGCACCAGCTGCAGACAAAGATCTTGGAGAAGTCTGAAGTGCTTAACAGTGTGATTGAGTATACTGCACACCTAGATGTGCTGCTAGCTTTGGCAGCGATGGCCCGGGAGAATGGCTACTGCCGGCCGCGCTTTACTCACCGCCACGGCTTCCACATCAAGGGTGGGAGACATCCACTCATGGAACTATGTGCAAAGACTTTTGTGGCCAATCCTGTGAACAGTGGCGAGGCTACCAGACGGATAAAGATCATCACAGGGCCCAACTCATCTGGAAAGAGCGTCTACTTGAAGCAAGTAGGTCTTATAGTATTCATGGCTCTAATCGGCAGTTATGTCCCTGCAGCAGAGGCAGAGATTGGAGTAATTGATGGTATTTACACAAGAATCCACAGCAGGGAATCAGTTTCTGTAGGGCTCTCTACTTTCATGATTGATCTTAACCAGGTTGCCAAGGCAGTAAACAATGCCACAGAGAGGTCCTTGGTACTTGTTGATGAGTTTGGTAAAGGGACCAACACATTGGACGGCCTGTCCCTTCTGGCTGCTGTCCTGAGGTACTGGATCAGTCAAGGAACACAGTGTCCGCAGGTCTTTGTCTCCACTAATTTTCACAGTTTAATGCAGCTAGAACTCCTGCCTGACACACCTCTTCTGGAATACCTGACCATGGAGACCCACCAAGATGGAGATGAGTTGATATTTTTCTATCAGATCAAACAGGGCATATCCACTGTTAGTCATGCTGCCAACATCGCTGCATTAGCAGGAATGCCAGCCAAAATTATTGAAAGAGGAGTGGAAGTGTCAGAACTGATTCGCAATGGAAAAGCTATCAAACGTATGGATCATCCTTCAAAAGGAGATCGGATGGAAAAATGCAAGTCTGTTGTGGAAAAGTTTCTTCACCTAGACCTTGATGATCCTCATGTGGACTTAGAAGAGTTCATGCATAAAGAAGTGCTGCCTTCTGCAGCCTCAGTGCTGTAACAGGGGTATGTGTAAAAGCATGTATCTACCATGTTCAGTAGGAGAATTCGGTAATTTCAAGAATGATCACTATGACTAACACCTCACACACTACATTTAGCTTGTAACAACCTGTCTATAGTTACGTCCTTTCTTCTTGTTTAAAACAAGTACTGTAGTTACATATCTCTGCAATATGGTGTATGATATGAAAGCAGGAAGACTGAAAGAGAATTCCAGAACCTCTTCCAGGTGTTGGGTCACCCAGTTTGTGCATTTTCTGCCCCTGTTGTTAGATCTTCAGATTAAAAAATACAGTAGAAAAACCACAAAACATTTCTGCTGGTCTCATAAGACTGTGAAAGCAAAGTGTTTATTGTTTTGTATTGTGCCAAAGTGATTGTTTCAGACATTTTAGGATCAGCATCAAAGATTCCAAATAAGTATGTGCCTCAGACTCCCATATCTCAGCAAGTAACAGTTGTTACAATACAAACCACTGACGTACAGGCTGATAAAAGGAAATACAGAGGGATTTAATGAGCTCTGTGGCTTTTCTTACACCAGTGTTTCTGTCCAAAATGCCAGAGATCCCAGGTGTTGTTATAACAAGAATGCTGGAGGTCAGAATCTGTGGGGACTGATAAACACGGGAAGTGCTTTGTTTTTTCCGAGAATCACTCTCTTCTCATAAGGTTTTATATAGTACGACTATGTATCTATGCCATATGGGTATAACAAAAGCAAAATTACCAATCTATGAAACTGAAAACTATACTAGGGATGTAAGACAGAAATTCATGTTTTATATTCTGTTTTCGAGTATTGAGTAAAACTTAACATTAAAGGAATAATACCAGAAGGGGAGGATTCCCTGTCACTTCTCTTGCCATGCAGAGGATCTTTACTGAACACAGTATTTGATGTATGCATATGCAACAAAAATTCATTAACAGATTAATGAAGCAGAAGACATGATATGTAAGTACTACAGAATAACCCTTCCTGCAGTGAGATAAGTGCCTGAGATTCCTTATCTAAATAAGACAGAAGAGACATTAGGTAGCTTATTCTCTGCCTGCCAAAACTTGCTGTAACTGCTTACAGTATGGCTAATAAAAGACATCAGCAGATAACACTACATCTCTCTTCAGCTATATTTGATTTCAAGAAGCCAAAAATATTAATGTCTAATAAATTGAGAGAAAATTTACATGAGAAAAAAGTAATTACCTTCATAATTATCAGTGTTAAACATCTTATCTGGTATGCCTAGCTGAAGATAGCAAAAAGATGAATGTGAGTGCACATCAAAAAGATTTGAATTTGGAGACACTGCTTTGGGCTTGATTCATTGTGGAATTTCCTCCTTTATGAAAGAAGGAATTATTATTATTTTTACAAAATAAGTACCTTATGTTATCGCTATATGAAACTAGGACAGTGGCAAAAGTTTAACATAATTTACATTAAAAAAATACCAGAATAAATTACTGAATCATGCAGTTACTGCTATTTCCAGTGCAATCATAATAATACTGTCTGCAAAATAATATCTAGCATCTTGACGATGTTACCATTGAAGTTGAATGGTAACAGTGAATCAGGCCTTGTACAACACTTCCAAGTGTTGTAAATACAAATGGCTTTTTCTCACTAATATATTATCTTTTCCTAATTATACATACGGCATTCTAAAGATATACTGTACAGAATTAAATATTCATAAATTATATTTTTGGCTTTTTTTTCTTGTCAACCACTGTCTAGGCTAAGGATATACTCCTTACTAATTAAGCAGATGCCATCAGAGCAATTTAGCTGTCAGTCATCTTCTACTTATGAAATCTGTTTCACAGTATTTGCAGTTCTGGCAGCACTAGGTATCAAAGGATCTCCAAATGTCGTACAGCATTTATCTAGCCTGCCTCACAACATGCCCTGAAATAAACAGCAGTCTAGACGAATGAAAAGCAGAGGGGTTGTGACTGACCTGTGGCAACATAACAGGCTAGTGAGGGAAGCAGGAATAGAAACGTTACCTTCAAGTGCAAAACTCCAGTTGTTTTTTTCACTGTGTTTGATTAGGTTCTTTGTATAGAAGGTAATGACACTAACCCAAGATTCTTATCATTCAAACAATCAATTGTGCAAATAGCTAAACATGTGCAAGTAAATTTTATCCCTTTATCTCCTTCCACAAAGACACCCAGAGGCACACTGGACCTCCTTATCTGGGGGAAGTTTTCAGTGGTACGTTTGATCTCACAATTGTCCAACTAACCATGAAGAATGAGTTGCTCCCACTTCTGAGGAGGTAAATAAGTTCTTTAACCTGAGAGGCTGAAGGGGATACAGTAGCCCAGATAGCTCTTTTCTAACCCACTTTATCTCACATTCTTATCTTTTATTAATGCCTGTTTCCAAAATTTTTGCATTTACCATTTTTAGCTTAATGCTGTGCCTTCAAAGTGGAAAGCTGATTTCTTGAGATCTTTAATTTTGAACTCTCAGACTCTTTGTTTGGTAAATATCAGCAACAATTTGGGAAAGTTAAAATCTTCTCAGAATATATCCATTTCAAAAATGCCTGTAGCTATGTTAAGGTTTGAAAAACAGATTATTTTTTTTTTCCCCCAAAAAGATAACTTTTGTGGAATTTAGATGTCATTACGAGGAGAGTGGCTTAACAGAGTATTGTTTCAAATAAGGAAACTTACATTTAAAAAATATTAATATAGTTATACAGCTATAGCTGTGAACTATACTCAGCTACTTTAGTTTTGTTTGCTCTTTTATATGCTTTCTCATGTAATCTTCATCCACTCCTTCCTTGTTTTTCATACTGTTGTATGATCTGAAAATGCAATTAAACATTATATTAAAATGTACTACAAAATAGTTATTCCTTTTATGTTTAATGTTTTTATTTATTGTTTTAAGTAAATGCATGAAACTATCTCACTAAATGCATGGACACAATGAAACAAAAAATGATAGTAAAGACCAATGCTTATGCCTGACAGTGGACTGACAGAGAAAAATTCCTGATAAAATAATTTACAGATATTTTTAATACATAGTATCTTTCTACACAGTGTATCTTTAGACTACCATATGCATTATCCAGCATTATGAAGGACTAAGGAAGATGATTTGGAATGACATCGACCTGGTTCTGTCAGCAGCAGTGAATATCAGAACACAGAAAGTATGCATCCCGGCTAATAGTTCATGCAAGGTAGATAAATGCAAACCAACCAACCAACGAGCCAAAAACCCAACCAAAAGCAGAATGGCAAAAAACCCACCCTGATTGTCTCAGATGTTTTAACCAGTTAAATTACTGAACAGCTGATATTCTGGAAGAACTGTGGATTTTTAAAATGAGTTTTTTAAAAAACAACTGTAAATACAAGCAAAAGCTTATGTAAGCTTACAAATGTAATAGCTATAACATACCACCTACAACCTGTGAACAAGTCCTTTTTTCTGTTTCAGAGCAAGTATGTGTGCCTTTGAAGTTTCTTGATGTATCTCAAATCTCACTGCCTTCTTCCAACTGATTTCACAATAGTACTTAATTAAAATGTGCACCTTCAGCATTTTTTAGAGTTATTTCTAATGAAATTTTAAAGTATTTTTCTTTAATGCTTACTATTAAGGAAACAATAAACTTATAAATATTTATATTATGTACTTTAATTCTTATTTAAAAATACATTTTTTCTGAAAATTATTTTCCTGTTCAATGTTAAAGGATCACGTAAAACATTCTATACAATGTCAGCAAAAAAATTTTATGGAGGTATACTGTATGTTAAATAATACAATATTACTGTTAAATTAGTATGAAATAAAAACCTAGATATACGAGTATTGCTTCTATGTATTTATCATCACAGTTATAACCTAATTCTACATACTTGTGTATTTTGTCAAAAAAACTAATAAATAGGCAAGAAATAACTGCCTGCAAGACAGAATATAGAAGGTGTGTTCCATCGCCGCTCTGAAATTCACCAAAGCATATTCAATAGAGGGAACTGACAGTCTGCATATTATTCAGTATCCAAATATAAATTCCACTGTTTATTTGCTTATTTTAGCCTATACAGTAACAAAACAAAACAGAACTATCCAGACAAAGTGCATGCATATAATCTACACCCTAATAGTAATTCTGTAATTTTGAACAAGTACTTTCATCCTTTGGTCCTGCATAGTTTCACAAAAGAAAATAGACCACGATATTACCGTACTGAGAATATCAAGAGTGGTAACTTAAAGTTACAGTACAGGACTACTCTTTATATGGCAGATATACTAACTATTTTTTCTTAAAAAATCCGTATTTTCAAGTCTTACCTCTTCAGCTGGTTACAAAGTAGAACGTACGATGCTATAGAATAAGCAACTCTCCTTTGTCTCCAAATTAAACTTTCTAGATTGCTGCTGAGCTATGTGAAATGTGAGCTTACCTCCTTACGTAGCTGTGTTGATTTTGACAACTTCATGAAGGTCAGATGTGGTTTAAAAGCTCTTGCTTCTCCTGTGAAGATGCCCTTTTCTTGAAATATCTTCTTCATAGTCTCTGAGCAGGGAGAAGAATGTAGAGGTACAAAGATATTACATGATAGAATGCTTAAAAATGTGCTTTCTACTGTAATATGAGTCACAGCCACTCCATGTGGGAAAAACAAGATGATGAGTACTAAAAGGCAGAGAGATTTCTAGTTAACTTCAAAGGTACATGTTATTTCCTGTGAAAATAGTCTTGCATTTGCAGTTAATATGGGTCACAAATTTGGCTTTACTAAAATAACGGCAATTAGAAAGCTGTCCACACTGCCTGCTTTTGCTATCAAAATAGGAACTTGACATTAGAACTGTTCAGGAGTTACTCTCACTGGAAGAGTTTTGGAAACTTCAGGAAAATTCTGAGTATGTAACAGAATTGTCTCTCTTCGAAACCACTATTTCCTGTATTTGGTAATCTCCGATTCAGACCAAATGAAATTGAAAGCTGTTAAGTTCTGGCACTGGATTTAGATGGCTATTAGAGAACATATCAGGTATGCTGATGATTTTTGTTTGTTTTTTTAAGCTTTGCTGTTGCCTTCCAAGCTAATTTCCCATTTTTAATGTATACTTTTACCTGTCTACAGCCCAGGCCAAAGCAACAAGAGTATAGTAGCACTGACCTAGTTTACTATTTCCCAACTCATCTGCCCAGTGTAATGTTCCATTTCTTGGAAATACATTTCAGTTTAACTTTTGAATTACGTTCCATATTTCTTTTAGCGGAAATACTTGTAATTTTGAAACAAAGTTTAGATAAAATTGATAAAACCTGTAGCAAAAAATAATACCAGTAAGTAGAATATTTCTACTACTGAAAAACAGAACTGCAATATCTTTTCTTTTCCTTTGCAAATACAACTTCCAATTTTTCACTACCTGTTGGTCTAGCTGACTCATGCTATCCTTGAACTAAAATCAAAAGGGGGGGGAGGAGGGAATCAATCCTATCACATGAATTTAATCATCCCGTACCATAACAATGTATTTGCATTTAAGTGTATTATTTTGGGGCTTGATACTTCAGCTGTAACAGAAAGATCCAGTGCTTTATTCTCCCACCTGGAAGAAAATGCATTACACTGTGAAGCAAACAGCACAGCTGGCTGAAAAAAAATAGGGAAGGCCCAAGGAAGAAGAATACAGGCAAAGCTGGCTAGCGTAAGTCTGCCAGTTCACACTCCTGTAATATGTTATTCCAGAGTCCTTGCTCTTACCATTTTTTGTTTTCTGTAGTAACTATTTAAGTGAGCTACTTTGAAATCACACTTAAGAAATTTTACAAGTTTGTGCATTACTTTGCAACAGAAAAGTTCTAGGAGAAGCTCAGAGTATTCACTTGGGACCTGGAGATCAAAATTCACTTCTCTTTCTCTGCTGCATATGATTTATAGCCTTAGGCTCCACAGTCAATGCAACTAAAGTTGGGATTTTGAAAGAAGCCAAGGAAATCAAAGACCCAAATGCCATCTCTTAAACAGGCCCACTCGAAAATTCTCTTTCAACCTTCACTCCGCACTTATAAGATGCTGATGAATTTTACAAAAAAGCATTAGCCCAACCTTTATTCTAACTCACAGGATGCTGAAAGGACAACTGGATTAAAACTTGTGAAGCATATACACAGTGGTAATAGGGGTCATATTACTATGGCAGATGCTGAAAATAACCTACCAGAACGGCTGAGGTTGGAAAGGACCTCCGGAGGTCATCTGCTCCAACCTCCCTGCTCAAGCAGGGCCACCTAGAGCTGGTGGCTGGGTTGGACTATGTCTGGATGAGTTTTGCTTATCTCCAAGGATGGAGACCCCACAACCTCCCGGGCAACCTGTGCCAGTGCTCGGTCACCCACAGTGAAAAAGTGTTTCCTGATGTTCAGAGCAACCCTCCTGTGCTTCAGCTTGTGCCCATTCTCGCTCTCTCCCCCCTGACCCACGTATGCATCTATGGATATACAAGCATAACTGCTATGTAGATCTATAGATCTATGTATCTCAATCTACAGGACTAGTATATATCTACAGCTATAGCTATGTATCTATACACAAGTACAGCTTACCTACTTGTATTATTTTAAATTGTGTCTACGGGAAACATTTCTAAATTTACGCTGGATCCCCACTAAGCTATTGTGCAGCTGTGCACACAAATGCTGCCGAACAACAGATTAACAAATCAAAACATAAGACTACAAATAAATGTTTGCTGCTTCTTCAAACTGAGATATGGAAGTTCAAATTATGTCACTTAGGTATGGTGTGCATGTATTTCCATGCATCCAATGGCCTGCTCATTTTCTGATGTTAGTAAGCTAATAAAATGTTACATTTATTTGTAACTGAAATTATCTGTTACAAAGCCATTGTCTGGTTCCTCTCTTTGGTTCTCTGAACTGCATCATTTGGGGACTCCTTGATTTTGATCCAGCAAAGGATTAGTCTTATCAAAACCAGGTTTATGCTACCCTGTGATATTCTGTCTCATGGACTGTAGTCTTTTTTCTCCCCTAAAAGCTCGAAAGTCTTTCTGCCACCACGTCTTATGCCAAGCAGTGTCTTACCTCCCACTCTGCAATTAAGATCTGTGCTGGTGAAGATATCCATCTCTAAGGGTGTCCCCCTAACTCCAGTAAGAGCTTAGTGTCAGACCAATGGTTTGCCAACATGCATCTGATCACAGGATTTTAAGCCCAGTGTTTTCAACGGGGTCGGCTGATCATATAGCACTATAAATGTGTGTTACAATGGGACAGTAGGGCACCTACACTTTACATGGCTGCACAGCAACCACATGGCCTGCGTGTCTCCATTTTGTGCTAAATAGCTTTGTTCAATATCTGCTTCTATTTATGTTTCTAAATTCATCTTTTTTTCATACCTGGCAATTCTAATCAAGAAAAAACATAATGAAAACCTGGGCCAGAGGAAAGAAAGCATAACTTCAGAGAGAGACTGCAGTTTTAAATTTAATAGATTTACATGCGTGTGTCCACCCCATGTTCTCACGGTGATCAGACTTCTCACACAGCTTTGTCATAGCATAGACTGTTATTAAACACCACAGGCTCATGAGATTGGCCGCGCTTGCTGGTACTACAGATAGCCCCAGTTTTGCAGTATTTGACACTCAGGGAAAGCATGACATTTTACTGGTTAAGGTCACTTAGGAACATCATTAGCACAATGTTTCCTTCTTCAAAGATAACGAAAATAGAAAGAAATCTGAGTAGATGGAGGGGAAAAAAAAAAGAAAGGGAAATGTTTTCTGAGAGCACAGGAAGGTTAAAAGATAATGTAATGCTATTAATATCCATGCAGTTCTTGAAAGAAGTGGCCACAAGAAGGGTTTTAAAAGAAATGGGGAAGGAAGCATGGATGCTGTGGGCAAGAGAGAGTTCCAGGCTTATGGGACAGCATGAAAATGGATTTGAAGACTGAGCAAATACACTAAGGTTAAAGTTTATGATGGGGATTGCCTGAACTGAAAGAAATTAGAGGCCAGTGACAAGAAAGGTAGACAGACAATGCCCATAGGTCTCAACAAATGAGGATCTGCCATCTCTCCCCCAAACATCAATATCACTAGCTAGACTGAAAAAAAATCAATCAATATCTGTGTTCTCCCTTATTAGAATCATAGAATAGTTTGGGTTGGAAGGGACCTTTAAAGGTCATCTAGCCCAACACGCATGCTGTGAGCAGGGACAGCTTTAACTGGATCAGGTTGCTCAGAGCCCCGTCCACCTGACCTGGAATGTCTCCAGGGATGTGGCCCCCACTACCTCTCTGGGCAACCTGTTCCAGTGTTTCACCACCCTCATCATAAAAAAAAGTCTTCCTCATATGTAGTCTAAATCTACTTTCTTTTAGTTTAAAACCATTACCCCTTGTCCTATCACAACAGGCCCTGATAAAAAGTTTGTCCCCATCTTTCTTATAAGCTCCCCTTATGTATTGAAAGGCTGCAATATGGTCTCCCTGGAGCCTTCTCTTCTCCAGGCTGAACAACCCCAACTCTCTCAGCCTTTCCTCGTAGGAGACGTGCACCATCCCTCTGATCATTTTTGTGGCTGAAAAATGTCGGCCAGTCTCAGGCTGACCAATGTTTGCAGCTTCAAAGTATACCCTAGAAAAGTCAAGGCTATTTTTACAAGCTCAATGACTTCCTGGAACAAATTTTTGGACAGCTTTCAGATAGTCTTTCATGAAATTTGAAGTACTCTGCAATACCATTTTGTACCTTATTTTTATAATATCAAAATTACTGGATGTCATCTGCCTCTCTTACATTGGATGTGGCTGAATCCATTAGATAACTGTTTCCCCATAATTAGACTTGAAATGTGATATATGAAACTTACTTGGAACTGCTATATACTGGAAAGGCTCAAAAATACAACAGCTAGATCAATACGGAATGAGTCACAGAAAAAACTGCACATTGAGCTACATTCCGTAATACAAATGGCGATATTCTTTTCCAAGATTTCATTAGCTACAGAAAACTGCTACGTATGTACATTTTCTTCCAGTCTATTAATTTCTGCTTGTCTCTAAACCACGTTTCCTCAATTAAAAGGTTTAGAATTTAGAAACAGTATTCTGTCTCTTTATTGAAATTTTTTTTACTTTACACTTAGAGCTGAAGAAAAGCTAAGCATAGATAACTTACAATTAAAACTATCAAGTTAAGTCATGTTAAAATTTTTAAGTTCTTAGTTGTTTTTTAAGAGTATTCTGTTGGCTATCAGTTAGCAGAAGTTTGGGTTTTACACAGAAGCTCTTCTGGTCATCCTTACTTTCCTAATAGCACCGAGTATAATGCACTCGCAAAGCATTACAAGACCCAATTTCCAAGCCAATGAGTAATTCGAAGCCACCTATTGCAGATGCTAATATTTATCACAACCTCAACTATCTGTGACCAGAGGTGAGCACCACGAAATTAAAAACTATTATTTTAGATATCATGTTATGCTTGGAATATATAATCAAAGGCTGCACCAAGCACCAA